TTCCTTTTTTGTTTCTGCTGATAAGCTGTCGGGCAGCGCCTGTGAAACAAAATGGGCTACTGGGAGATGTAGCTGCCTGGAGAGGGAGCTGCCTTGTGCTGGAGCTGCTTCACTGCAGGATCGAGGATTTGGCCAACGGACTGATTCAGCCCTAGAGCTGCTCTGTCCTCCCTGAAGCCGGTTCCCTGCTCTGTCTCCAGCTCTCGTACACTGCATTTGGCTGCTGGCATGAAATCTCTAGCGTAACAGCATGTGGTTGCTGATTTCTAATTTATTTATTTTTTTTCTCTCCCTTTTCTCTCCCCCAGAGGAATCCAATAAGAAACATCCCTTCCCCTGCCCCACATCGTACCGTACAGCCCTGATGTACTACCTGGACATCACCAACCCGCCCCGCACCAATGTCCTCTACGAGCTGGCCCAGTACGCCACGGACGCCGGCGAGCAGGAGCGCCTCCGCAAAATGGCATCGTCTGCTGCCGAGGGCAAGGTGGGAGCTGTGGCCTTCCCAGCAAAGCTGCTGGGTTGAACTGGGTGCTGGGGGATCCCCAAAAAGGGATCCAGGACTGTTGGGCACCGCACGCAGAGAGCTGAGGGAGTGTTTGCCAGCCGTCTAGGGAAGTCGTCATGCGTGTGCCCTCCTTGCCCGCAGGCTCTCTACCTCAGCTGGGTGGTGGAAGCCCGGAGGAACATCCTGGCCATCCTGCAAGACATGCCCTCGCTGCGCCCCCCCATCGACCACTTGTGTGAGCTCCTGCCCCGCCTGCAGGCCCGCTACTACTCCATCGCCTCCTCCTCCAAGGTGAGCGTGCTTCCAGCAGGGACTGAGGCTGCTGAGCGACCGCTTCAGCTGCAGCTCCACAGTGCCACCGTTCCCGCTCTCGGCTGGGGAGAGGACACGGGGAATTTGCCCTGGCGGCACTTTCTGTGAGGGGGATAGCTTTAGTTCTCTCTACGCATGAGAAGAGGGGGTTATCCCAACTTCCATGGGGTCTGTAAAGGCTCCCACACTGCAGACAGCTCTGCCCTGATACCACCACCCTCCCTGCAGCCCTGCTCCTCTTCCCCAATAGGCCTTCCAAGCTTTCAGGGCTGGAAAGGTAGGTGGCATTTTAGGGGTTGGTCAAAACTCACTCTTTTTATTTTTTTGCCCTGAAGCCCTGAGGTTGTTGGCAGTACCGAGGGAACATCAGCAGTCATGCAGCAAGTTGGGCACAAGACAGAAGCCCTATGTGGGGCGTTCTTGGAGACTTGATCTGCTGGGGGAGGAATAGCTGTCCCAACTTTAATGTTAGGTTAATCTTCTTCCCATCCCTGAGCACAAGGGACTGAGCTGTGACGTTGCCCAGGACCTCATCTGGGGCTGCCTCTCTGCCTGGCACTGACATCCCTTCCCTGCAGGTTCACCCCAACGCCATCCACATCTGTGCTGTGACGGTGGAGTACGAGACCAAAACGGGACGCCTGAACAAAGGGGTGGCCACCAGCTGGCTCAAGAACAAGGTGCCTGGCGAGAACAGGAGCAATTCCCTGGTGCCTATGTATGTCAGGAAGTCACAGTTTCGCCTGCCCTTCAAACCCAGCACGCCTGTCATCATGATCGGACCAGGGACTGGCATAGCCCCCTTCATCGGCTTCATTCAGGAGCGGGCCTGGCTGAAGGAGCAAGGTGAGCGCCCAGAAACTTCCCCGGGGACCACAGCTGCTGCACGACAGTGCTCTGTGGGGCCAGTTGGTGCCTCCAAGGTGCAGCTTGTGCTGCTCGCATCGCTGACGGGTCTAATCAAAAGCAGAGGTGGTGGAGCAGGGTGAACAGCAGCTAAGTGTTTTTGCCCAGCATGAAGATGCTTTGTTCTCCGCTCTTAGCCACAGAGGACATTTGGGGGGTCGTACAGACCTGAGCCAGTTCTCTGACCTCTGCCACCACATCTCCAAATAACCACAGTCAAGTCTCTTACTCATTTCTAAAGCATATAGGTACTTCTGGGAGTCAGAGTCTTGAGCTTCCTCTTGCAAACGGAAGCAGACGCACAGCTCTGCCTCCCCCGGGTTGGAGGACATGGCGGGGTTGGGGTTGGGGGCTGCAGGGTGCTGATGGGTGCTGTGTGACTCTGCAGGCAAAGAGGTGGGCGATACGGTGCTTTACTATGGCTGCCGCCATGAGCGTGAGGACTACCTGTACCGTGAGGAGCTGGCCCGCTTCCATCAGGAGGGAGTCCTCACCCAGCTGAACGTCGCCTTCTCACGGGACCAGGCTGAGAAGGTACCACTCTCATCTCCCAGCCGCCTGCTCGCGTTGCCCAGCACCGCTTCGAGCCACGGCAGCGGGGGAAGAAAAGGCCCCGAAGGCTGGAGACTCCCAGGCTGGGACCTTGCTGCTGGGGAGGGGCCACGGCAGTCGTAGGAGCACTCAGCTCCTCCGCTGTCTTGTGGAGCCACGAGCGTGGACTTGGCTTCCTCACCCTCGCCATGGGCTGTGACGCAGCTCGGTGGTGTGGGGGCTCTGCCCCTCTTGGCTCATCGCCACCGTGTTTCTTGCCAGGTTTATGTTCAGCACTTACTGAAGAAGAACAAGGAGAACATCTGGAAGCTGGTTAATGAAGGCAACGCTCATATCTACGTGTGCGGGTAAGTGCAGTGGCAGGGAAGGGATTTTGGGAAAACATTCCTATACTTGGGAAAAGGAGCATTATTCAGTTCACCCACTTGTGCGGTACAAGCCCTGGGAGGGTTATGCTGCCCTTGTTCTGGCAGAGGGAGAGCGGCCAAGTAGATGGGTTGGGGTGAGTGAACCGTCTGTGTTCGGGTGTTCAGAGGCGACCAGGCTCTCATGTGTTACCACCTCACTCTTGCTTCCAGCGATGCTCGCAATATGGCCCGGGACGTGCAGAACACCTTCTACGAGATCGTGGCTGAGTTTGGGAACATGAGCCAGGCCCAGGCTGTGGACTATGTAAAGAAACTGATGACGAAGGGCCGGTACTCTTTGGATGTCTGGAGCTAAGAGAAGGGCTGGCGGGGCTGGGGAGAGAACGGGTCCCCAGGTGGGGGCCCGTAGGAGGTGGAAAGTGCCTGCTCGCCCACTGCTGCTGTGGGTGACAGCGTCGTCCCCAGCCCACAGCTACCCCAGTGTCATTCCCAACCCCTCCTGCACCACAGCAACTCCCTGGGGCAGGCTCTGTACCCTGGGGGGTGGAAGGGGTTGAGAGGGGCAGTGGGGGTAGCTGAGGCTGTTGTCCAGGAGCCGTGGTGCCCCCGGTACCCCGGGGAGCACCTCATGGCACCAGCGTTTGCCTTGAGGTCAGGGACACAACTGATGTAGTGTAGGAGGGACAGACGGTGCTGGGGGAGCTCTGGGGGTCCTTCCCTGAACACAAGGTGTTGCCTTATCCCCTGGGGCTGGAGACTAGCCTGGCCTGCCGGCACGGACAGCCTGGGGACAGCAGAGGGCTGGAGAAGCCAGCGGCCCCCTGCGCTGCGGGTTTGGTGTGAGGGCACGGCGTGGGGCAACCATCTGTCCTTGCCTCCCTCCCACCCTGTTTGGCCATCTCTAGGATGTGGGGCTGGCAGCTGGCTCCGGGCACAGAGCTGCCCACCACCACCAGGACCCCACAGGCACCCCGCTCCTTTCCCCCACTGCCCCCCTTCGCTCCAGCTCACAGCGGAGAGGGGGCGGCTCCTCTCCCCTCCAAAAGAGACCTGGTCTGGTGGTGGGGGGGGTCCTGCTTGCTCCCTGGGATCCTGCAGCCGGCAGCTCCCCTGTGCCCAGCCCCTCCCTCATGCTGTGTACGGTCATTTTTTTAAATACTGTTTTTATTTTAACATCTTTGTGATTTAATCATGGGAAAAAAAAAAAAGACAACAAACTTTCAGGCTTTCCAATGACTGTAAATTATTTAAATACATTTGCCCTTGCAATAAAAATACTGTTTCTGTAGTTTGCTTCCTGCCCGCCCTCTGCTTGGGAAGAGGGAGGCAGGAGGAGCAATGGCTGCTAACCAGGAGGAAACCTGAGGAACAGGCGGCAACTCTGGGTTTCGGGGGCAGCCCCTGCCCTGGGGCGCTGAGCCCTGGCAGGGGGGTGAGGATGACAGCGGTGGCAGGTGGATGGCTCTGGAGCGAAGCACAGCTGTGCTGGTTTCCAACACTTCAGGAGCTTCTGGTAGTAGTACAGGGCTGCTCTTCCCCCGGTCTTCTGCTGGGCCCTGCTTCGGGCAGCCGAAGCTCTGGCTGTAGCCCATGGCATGGGGCTGTGCGGGTCAGGGAGGAGGGAGCTGGCAGCTAATAGCACTGCTCTCCCATCCCCATCGCACCGGGCAGCTGGAGAGGGTTTTTCTTCCCTCCGCTGCCAGACGAGCCAAAATTGTGGAGCGTGCAAACTGTTCTGAGACCACTCCAGCAACCCGAGGCAGCACCTTCCCTTTATTTTTGCGTGTGCATCCTCCAGAGATGCAAGACCAGCGTGCTGCTTGCACAGCTCCAGCGTGAAGCCTGATTCAGGCTCATGGTGTTCCCACCCCTCCGTCCTGCGGCTTGAAGGTGCAGGAGGAACCGGGGTATGACACAACCTGGAAGGCAGCACGTGTGTGCAGCCTCCGGCTCTCCCTGAAAGCAAAGGGGGCAGCAAGGGGAGCGATTGCCCGCAGCCGATGAGATGTGAGGGCCTCTGTAACTCTGCCTTCAAGCCCCATGGGCTGCCCTGGCTGCAGGGCTGGGGAGGGATGGGGGAAGAGCCTCGACCACCCCAGGAGCGGAGCGTGAGAGGCAGACATCACCCCTAGACCCTGCCTCATCCCAAGCTGGGCACCCCAGGCTGCCCCCCCCAGGCTGCCCCCTGCCTGCAGCAGGGTGGGGAGCACTAATAGGTCTGGGCTCAACCCAGGAGAATCATCCCGGTAAAAGTCCTCAGGGCAAAGGGAAGGGGAGCAGCTCTCCAGGCAGCCAGGAGAGGGGTTGCAGGGCGCTCCTGCCTCCAGGCGAGTGACTTGGATCCAGCGCCACAGTGAACACGCAGTCTGTTTGCGAGCAGGCCCCAAGCTCTGTCCCAGAGCTTCTGGGACAAGCTCTGTCACAGGCTTCCAAGGAATGGGGTGAGACACCAGAGTCCGGACGGCATCGAGGATATGGGGATGAGAGATGGAGCTGGTGGGGAGAAACAGTCCTGGCCCCCACGCTGCCCCCCTTCAGTTCCGCTTCGTGTCTTTGTTCTTGTTCTGCAACTTCTGGTGGACGACGCGGAGGGTGGTGAAGAAGTTCCCCAGGAAGAGGATGAAGAAGGGGAGGCCACACATGAGGACCTGTGGGAGCCGCAGAGGCGTGAGTCAGCATGAGGGGCTGCCAGGGGCACCCCCCTCCCCAGGGCAGCTGCCTGGGAGCCCCCTTACCTGCCACTCCTTGCACTCTGGGTGCTGGATCATGCGGAAGAGGGTGACGGCATTGTAGAGTTGCCAGAACTGCAGGAGAGAGGAGATTTAGGGGAGTTTCTGCTTTCAAAGGCTTGTCCCCAATGATGAAATTTATCCAGCTGCTCCCTCTGGATGGGAACCCCACGCAGACCTCAGTTGGACCCCAGTTGGGACATCTCCCAACAGCCAGGAGGAAGCCTCGGACCATCCATCAGCCTAAATTATCTGACTGACCAAGGAAGATCAGGCCCTTCAGCAGCAGCAGCTCAAGAGCTGAAGCTCAGAAGGGTTTTGGAAGGGTTCTCTGAGTCAGCCCCTCAGCTGTATTTTGCACATCGTTTGAGCTCTTGGCAGAACTACCCCGGCTCCTCCCCATCTCACTAGCCAAGTCGTGGAGGTGGTGGTGCTTTGGAGGAAAAGACAAGGCTTAGCGTTTGTTCAAAGCATTTCCCCACCCCCGGAATCCGTGTGGCACGGCCGCAGCAGCCTGCGGGGACCTGTGTGATGTCCAGGCTGCCAAGTGCAGCCGGGAATATGGCACTATCCGCTCCCACCCGAGGCCGTGGCCTCTTGCAGGTCCCCACAAGGGTCAGTGCGCACTCACCTGCCCAAAGAAAAGGAAGGGAAGCAGGAACGTGAGGCCTCTCCACATCCAGGACTGGAAGCCCTCTGCAAAGGATGAAGGTTTGCATGGGGACCTGAGAACACTCTAGCCGGGGCCCAGGTGGAGCCCAGCTCCTGAGGTTGCCAGCAGGGAGGTTCAGTGGCCACCCCGTGCATGGCTGAGAAGGTCCTGCCAGGCTAACACAGCCTCGCCATGGGCACTTGTACTCATAGTGAGGACTGCGGCCGGGATTCGTAGCCCTTGGCTAACATGAGCCTCTGGAAGAAGCTGCTGTGGTTGAGCTGCCCTCACCTGTAGCTGCTGTCCCTCAGCCCGAGCACTCCCTGTTGCAGGGGCCGGCAGACCACAAGTATGTGGGGTGCTGGAGGGATGTTTCATGTCTGAAGCAGCTTCTTAGGAGAAGCTTGGGCACCAGGAGCCACCCCCGCTGCTACCTCGCATCCCGAGGGAGCCAACCATGGGCTGGTGGCCCCAGGAGAGCGGGAGGAGATGGGCATCAGCCTATGGGATGCTGCTCTCAGAGCTTTGGCTTTAGTTGTAGCTTTTACTATTTCTGCCACTGATAAACTGCGGTCAAACCAACCTCCAAACAAAAATAACTGTCACTGTTGCCTTTAACAGAAACCACCGCTCCCAGTTAGCTGAGCACCAGTCTGGTGCTGGGAGGGAGGCTGCTAGCAGCCATGGGCCCTGCAGTAGCAGCAAAGGCAGGTCCAGTTGGGCTGGGACAACCAGTAAGGGAAGATCCCGGCTTACCCACAGTCAGATCCATGTTGTGCCTCTCGCCCAGCGCTCGGAGCCGATACAAGCACCCGCTCTGATAGTAGTACTGGAGGAACTGTACAAAGCCTGCAAGGAGAGCGTGGCTGCCGTCAGGGGGTGCCCGGGCATCAGCTCTCAGCCCCAGCATCAGCCTGGCTTTGAGATGACCCTCCCAGTGCCAGGGTGGTGGAAAGAGGCCGAGGGAAAACCCAGGTGAGGCGAGAGCTGTGAGCAGCTACAGCCGGGTCTCCACGTGTCGCAGAGCCCGGCGGGCGGGCTCGGACCCAAGGCCAGCCGCGGTGCCAGCCCCCCCGTCCCAGCTCCTGGGGCAGCACTTACTCTGGTACATGGAGAAGGAGAGGAACTGGTTCCTGAACATCTGGTACATGAGCCCGTCTGGCCTGCGGAGAGACGATGCTGGCAGGGGAACGTGGGGCTGAGAGGGGACGCAGCTGGCCCTGCCTGCCCCAGAGCTGGGGCAACGGCACTGTCCCTCGCCCCGGCTCCCACCAAAACAGGGGGACACCCCAGCTCAGGCGCCATGTCACAACACCTCACGTTTCCCAGCCCAGGGACCCCGCCTGCTGCACAGAGGTGCTGATGGCTGCTTTCATTTAGGGCGCTTGGGCCTGCTGAGGAACGCGTGGAGTTGGTTCTTGGCGCCCAACGTCCACAGAGCAGGACTATGGCTATGGGTTAGGGCAGCGAAGCTTCATCTGAGCTGGTCGCAGCCCAAGCAGGCTGAGGGGACGCAGACTTACCATGTCAGCATGACACCTGAGAGGAAGGTAGAGACGTAGTGATGGAAAACCCACCAGCCTTTGATTCTGGAAAATAGACACAGGCAAGGGGGCGTCAGGTCTTGAGCACAAATCAAGACCCAAACGCACACCAGCAGAGCAGAGCCAACCTGGCACCAGTGACCCTCCAGCTCCCAGGATAAATGCGAGGAGCAGGGCTGGTTACGAAATGGCCATGCACGGAACAGGACCCAGTGCCTCCGGTCCAGGCAGCACCCAGAGGAGCTGGGGCGCTTCCAACCACTGCTCCACCTTCCCGCATCGCCTCCACACAGGGAGTTTCTCCTGCCCCGATCCTACAGCTCATTAGCAGGGTTTGCTACACACCCCGAGTAGGAGGGAGCTGCTCCCTTGGGAAGCGTGGAGCTACGCAATGAGTCCCAACTCCCGCCCTTGCAGAGAAGGACCAACTCACTGCACGCGCCCCTCACGGAGCCCAAGGGACTCACTTGGATCCATTGTTGATCAAGATGCTCTCCCGGATGGTGAGGGTGCAGTAGTACCACACCAGGAGGAAGTTAAAGACGGCATCTGTCACCCTGGTGACAAACAAAGCACGGTGTGAAGGCATCAGCAGAGGCACCACCCGCACGTTTGGGGCACAGGCACCGAGACAGGCATCGCTACAGATGCCCAACCACCCTACAGGCAGGGAGATGTGCCTCTCCACCATCCAACATGGCCACAGCGAGACCGCAGCAGCCACAAAAGCCACCCCACCTCCAGGGCAGCGGCCAGATTCTTTTTCAGGATCTCCTGTTCAGCTCCGGACCTTTCAGGATGGGAGAGGAGATCTCTGCCCGGCACCCAAGCCAGACTCACCTGGAGTTGAGAAGGAACCGACAGGAGAAGGACACGATGAGTAAGATGATGGTGAGGTAGAGCTTGAACTTCTCATACTCATCTTTATATGCAAACCTGCAGGGAAGCACAAGGACAGGTTTGGAGCAAGGTGGCTGCTGCAAATCTCTGTCCTTCCATCCCACCTGGCTGGACAAAAGTGATGCTCTGTGAGAACCCGTGGGACATGCTCAGGACCAACCTCATCCCTGGATATTTCTGAGGAGAGTGAACCAGGCAGCGACACAACTTTAAGTCACCCCCCAACCATGCCAACCTGGTGGGTGGCTCTGGGAAGCCAGGCAGGTTGGCATCTGCTCAGCTCTTCAAGGGGAGGCTTGGGGAACTGAGGGAGGGGGACACGGGCTCCTGGCTGGGCACCTCTGGCAGTAGTGTCCCAGCGTGTGTGGGGGTCTGACGGGCCAAAACCAGCCGTTGGTGTTTCCCAAGGGAAAAGGAGGGGGCTCGCCAGTGGCTGGGCAAGTCTGTCTCTCCTGGAAGTCCCTAATGCGGGGGAAACCCGGACACAGCTTTGGTGGAGGGTCCCATTTAGCTTGTCAGAGCTAACTGTCCGTCCCGGCCTGGTGGCAGGAGCGTAAGGGGGAGTCAAGGACTCAGCTGATTCTGGGAGAGGAAGGAGGGGACAGCCCGGGAAGGGAACTTGCACCGGGCGGACCAAGCCAGCCACGTGTCTGCACGTGTGGCAGCTCAGCCCGGGAGAAGTCGTTGTTTCCTGGTGACAAGGGGATCCCAAGCCAGGCAAAACACACGGCAGCAGTGACGAGAGGGCCGTACTTGGCCTGCTTGCTGAGCAGCGTGACGTTCACGTTCCCGAGCACCAGACTCAGGTACAACCTGGGGAGAGAGAAGACGCATTAGGACGGACGCCTGCCCGGGAGCTGGCAGCGCTGCCATGGGGGTGAGGCAGAGCCATCCCCTCTCGTGCCACCGCTGAGGCCGCGGGGCTGGGAACGGGTCCCCAGCTGTTTTCCACTCGGAGCTGCCAGGCGGCATGACTGGCACAAACGCCCTGGCATCTCCTCCCAAGGGCAGGGGGACGGGCGCCCGAGCACGCACCCCACCTCCCATGGGCAACGGGGCGTTCACCGGGGCTCCCCCCCAAGCACGGCCACCGTTCAAGGGCAGGCGAAGGCCACGAGCAGGCAGAGGAGCGAGGGGGAACGAGGGCAGAGCTGCAGCGGCTCAGTCTGGCTCCTGCCCAGGCGTCCTTCGGGGAGCAGCACGGCTGTGACACCGCCAGGAGGAGGGTGACAGCAGGTTTGAGCCTTGCAGCATTACAGCCGGAGGGAGGACCTGGTGTTCCACCCAGAGACGAGGCGCCTCTTACCCGTTCTTCTTTGGTAGATAGGCCTCCATCTCAAAGAAAACATTCTGCCTCTCTTTTATTAGGTTCTGGGTCTCTTGGATGGACGACTCCTCTTCGGGACTCACGTGGGCTTTGCATCTGGGGGGGGAAACACAGGCGCTGGCATCAGGATAGCGTCTGTAACACGAACAGCACGTGCTGGCTCTTGATACAGGACTGTCTCAGACAAGGGCACCCCAAGGACGGGGAAGATGGTCTGGAGACAAGTCCACGACTCCATCTGCAGGGTGAGCTCCTCTGTGTCAGGCTGGGGTGTTGCTCAAGATTTTTGCAGGAATGAGAGCGAGGTGAGGCTGGACAAGTGTTCTCCTCAAGGAAGGCTGGAGAGAGCCTTGTGCGGGATCGGGGGCAGTTCAAGTTACCTGCAAAGGCCTTGCCAGCTCTGCGCTGCAAACAAGGCTCAAATGGGGGCAGAGGAAAAGGAAGCTGAGGAAGATCTGGAAGGCCTGGGTGAGTCCAGACCTCCACAGCACTTTGCTCTCAGGGAGGCTGCAGTAACATTTGTATTGGAGACAGAGCTGCGAGCTGAGTTCAACAGCCCCATCCTTGCTGCTCTCCCGTCCCACCCTATAGCAGGACACCAACTTACTTTTTGAGGGACAATGACAGCTCCTTCAGCCGCTTCTTCTGCCGTGCGATGGAGCTGGAGATCCCATCCTGCAGCTTGGTTAGCTCCTCAAGTTTTTGTTTGTACAGCTTGTGATTATCCTGGGAAGGAGAGACCGGCATGCATTACAGCTGCCTGCCCAGCCGTCCCCGTCCTTGGGTTCCCTGTGGGGACATCTGTTAAAAACTGTCTCTAACTCCACCTGCACGGCAGGCTGGGTAACACAAAGAGGTGGCTGCAGAAGGCCAGGCGTGTTTGGGGACAGCCTGCAGCCGTCCCTGGTTCCATGGAGGCAGAAGCAGCCACTGGGGACGTCCATCCCCACTCCCAAGGAAGTAACCTGCAGGTGCAGCCACATCCCCACGGCACAGCCTGGTCCTGCCCTCGCACGTGGCTTGTGTGCAGCCCCCCCCTCCAGCTGCGGGCTGTGAAAGTCCAGCCGGCAACACAGTCTCGCTCCGGGAATGCTCCCGTGATTGGGAAAACATTGACTGCTCACAGGGGTTAAGA